TTATTTGGGGGTGTCCCCAAGGCCGGGGATGGCACCTGGGGGGTCCCCAGGTGTGCCCAGGTGTGTCCAGAGTCTCTCAGTGCTGTCCCCAAAGTGCCACACCCCATTAAAATCCCACTAAAATCCCATTTTTCAGTTCCGAGGTTGTTCCAGGTGAGTCCCACACTGTCCCCAGGTGTCCCCAGGTGTCTCCAGGTGTGCCCAGAGTCTCTCAGCACTGTCCCCAAGGTGTCAAATCCCATTAAAATCCCATTTTCCCACATTTCCATGTCCCGAGGCCTTTCCAGGTTAGTCCCCAGGTGTGTCCCACGTTGTCCCCAGGTGTGGCCAGGTGTGCCCAGGTATCTCCAGGTGTGCCCAGAGTCTCTCAGCGCTGTCTCCAAGGTGTCAAACCCCATTAAAATCCCATTTTTCAGTGCCGAGGCTGTCCCCAGGTGTGTCCCACGTTGTCCCCAGGTGTGCCCAGGTGTGTCACTGTTCCAGCATGAGCTCACAGGCCCGTGCCAGCTCTGCCAGGCGCCGCCGGGCGTAGTCCAGCCGGTTCAGGGCCAGCTGGCAGCTCTTGCGGGCGGCGTAGCTCGAGCCCTCGTGGGGCTGCCCCGTGGCCACCTGGGCAGGTGAGAGACACACCTGAGAGTCTGACATACACCTGGCAGAACAAAACTCCCCCAAAAACACACCTGAGGTCACCAAAAATCCCGAATTCCCAGTGGAAAACTCACCTGGAGCCATGAGAAACTCACCTGGAATGCTCCAAACTTACCTGGGCAGGTGAGAGACACACCTGAGAGGCCCAATTACACCTGGGCGACTCAAAAACTGCCCAAATCCCCCTGAGATCCCCCCAAAACCCACCTGGAAACCCTCAGTCCTCTCCCAGACCCCACCTGGGATCACCCAAAGATCCCCCAAACCCCCCCCAGATCCCACCTGGAACCCAAAACTCACCTGCACAGGTGAGGGACACACCTGAGAGCCCAAAATCCACCCAAATACCCACCTGGGACCCCCCAAAATCCACCTGAGAGCTCCCAAAACCCACCTGGGGAGCCCCCAGACCCCACCTGGGACCCCCCCGGGCCTCACCTGTGTCAGGTAGCGGATCTGGGCCGAGAGCTCGGCCTCCACCTTGGCCACGGCGGCTCCGAACTGGGCGGCCTGGCGGTCCAGGTGTCGCTCCTGGGGCTTCTCCTTGGACAGCTCCAGGATCACCGAGCCTGGGGACACACCTGGGTCACACCTGGGCACACCTGGACACACCTGGGGCACACTTGGACGCACCTGGGGGGGCCTGGGACACACCTGGACACACCTGGGCTCACATGGGGGGGGCCTGGGACACACCTAGACCTGTCTGGGACACACCTGGGGGGGCCTGGGACACACCTGGGGCCACCTAGGGGGGCCTAGGACACACCTGGGGACACCTGAGCACACCTGGGACCCCCCCCCCGTGACCTCTGACCCCATTTCGCGCTCTCCCATTGGTCCCTCGGGGTTCATCTGGACCACGCCCCCAATCAGACCCCACCCCATTAAGCTCCGCCCTCTCAGCCCCGCCAATCACCGCCTCCAATGCCACTCCCACAATCACCATGGCAACCAAAACCCGGAAGTGCCACCTCGCGCTCCCCCAACAACGCGGCCCCTCCCCTCCCATGGCGCCCCTCCCCCACCGGGGAAACCCCGCCCCTTTCCGGAGCCCCCGCGCACCCGCGCTCTGCAGGGAGGCGCCGATTTCGCGCTCCAGCTCCTCCAGCGCCCGGAGCCGCTCGTTGGCCACGCCGAACCCCGCCATGCCGCCCGCGCCGCCACTTCCGCCTCTTCTCAGCCCGTTTCCGGTTCCCGTCACCAATGGCAGCGCGGCGTTCTCGTCACGTGACAGGAAGCGCCCGCCAGGAGACGCTCTGGGCGGAACTCGGTGGCAACGCCCCGTCCGGCGGCCGCTCTACGTCATCTCAGTGGTTTCGGGTCCTCCAAGGCTGATTAGCATCACAAAAGCACCCAAAATCCACTCCAAAAACGTCTGAAATCACCTCAAAATCACTCCCAGCTCCATTCCAAGGGTTTGTTCACCACAGAGACCCCACAGCGTCCTCGATTACCCTCAGATTCAGCTCCGGAGGAGGGATGAGAGCTCGAATGGGGACTTTTATTCCATTTTAAAGCGCTCCTGTCCAGGCCACACCGCTCATTGCCTTTTATCGATCTGGTTTTTTCCAGGCCATGCCCCTCATTGTATTTTGTAGAGCTACTTTTGTCTAGGCCGCGCCCATTTTTTTCCATTTTAGCGCTGACTGAAGCCCCGCCCACTCCCCCTCACGCAAAACCCGCCCCCGTTTTTCCCGCGCTGTGACGTCATCGGAGCGCGCCGGAGAAGGAGCAGCCATGGCGGCGGTGGCGGCTCCGCGGGCCCCTCCGGCCGCGCCGCTGCTCGAGGCGCTCTCGGCGCTCTCGGCGCTGCCCCCGCACCGCCGCGCCATCCCCGGGCTCGTCCGAGGCCTCCGCGACAGCGCCGGGACCCAGGTACCGACCGGCGGTGGGGGGAGAGGGAGGGGAAATCCCCCCCTCAGGAATGGCGGCCTCGCCTCAGAGAACGCGATCC